CATGGTTAGATGAATAACTTATTTCATTGCCTTATCGATATTTGCCTGTTTTTAACACAAGCTTAAATTGCAGCTGAAAATGGTGTCACGTCCGGTTAGTTGGAGGGCTTTTGAGCACAAGAAGCAAATATTACCTAAGCATGTTGGGTATAACATAGGAGATTGTGATATGATTTTTGGGCCTGCTCTTGTGGCTGACCACTGGTTCTGTTATGTCCTCCAGCCAAAGACATTGAATTTTTATGTGCTTGATTCGATGAAGATCGATGGTGTTAAGCAGAAGAAAGGCAAGAAAAGGGATTTTGGAGGATCCAAAAGGAGCTACTCATAATGCATGCATAAGAACTGAATAAGAGAACCTTAATAATGATGTTATTATTATATTAATTTGTTACTTATATAAATTTGTTACTTACTATGGTCATGTGTTTATGTTTAGAGGGATCACTTTTATGATATAATTGAATTGGTCAAACCAGAGCTCATTGGGAAGAAGCCAAAGGCAGACATAATTATGCCTCCCATTCCACAACAAACTAACTTGTGAGTGCCATTGACTCTGACCAATCATTATTGAACATAAATTGTTTTCAGTTGACTAACAATTTATGAATGACTTTTTCTGCCCAGGAGAGACTGCGGTGTACATGTTTTGATATGGTTAAACAAATGGTCCCCGGATGTGGTTTTGGATTACATAAATGAACAAGTCACTATATTTAGACGTGACCTATTGTGGTGGCTAGTTAAGCATGAGGGAAACGGTAAGAGGGCTGAAGCTTTGAAACTGCTTCAAGAAGAAAAGAAGGCCACAAAGCGGCAGCATTTATCCAAGTAGTATACATGGTTGTTTGTGGTTGGTGTTAGGCTTTATATTACATATGAACCGTTTGTTTTGTACAGAAACAAACCGTTTGCCAAATAGTGATCTTATGTCTGGTGTGTGCGTGTACTTTGGAAACACCACTTATATTGTAAGAAATTCAAGTCTGACAATGTATGAACCATGTTGACAACTATTATAAATGGTTTAACACCATTTCCGTATTTATTGACACCATGCTATTAGGTAAGTTCATTACATGTTCTAGTTGCTTTGAAATATAGACCCTTGATAGAGACGTTGACATTACTTTCATTAAGAAGGACAACTCCTTCATATATGTTGACTACACGTGAACTAGTAATTTGTATTTCAGCCAATCAAAAAAGAAACCTGGGCTAAAGACTTGCATAAAAATAGGAGTTGCGTGTTTACAACACTTACAAAGATAATGACAACACTTTCACATATAATGACAACACGGAAACTGGAAAGTTTGCTTTTAGGGATACCCTATGTAGGAAAATGGGTAATCAGATGTCCTCCTATTTTGCACGTTGACAACATTTTCATATATAATGACAACACCATCATAAAATTAAACAGCACTTGCATATGAAGTGATGACACCATCATTTGAGTTGACATCAAAAGTGGAAGTTTGAATCGGGAGAGTAATGGAGAAACCTGGGTAGCTGAAGTGACAACACTATCATAGCAGTTAATGACACGTAAAGCTACAAGTCACATCAGGGGCAATAGATAGGGAAGTCAGGCAAATCAAATGTTTCCCATAGTTATACAAGATGATAACACTTCTATATATAATGACAACATGATCAAATTAATTAACAACATGGAAACTGGATGTTGCAGTCAGGGGAAACTGATCCGAACACGAGGATGTTATTCTCGCGGTATGCACATGCACAACACTTTAAACCATAATGACAATGTCATCGTATGAATTGACGACACAAACATTGGAACTTTCGTTCAGGGGAATGAAGGGAACCAGCCACTGATCAGGGAATCAAGCAATATTGGAAGCATGTTGACAACACAATTATATAGAATCACAACACATTTGTATATGATGACTAAACCTAAGCTGTAAAGTTGAGATCCAGAGAATAAGTTACTGATATTAGACGTAACCAAGTTCAGTGAAAATGGCATAAAGGTCAAGTTAATAAAACATCTTCATTCGTTGTAGGGCAATAATGTGAAGGAGTTCAGAAGATTGGTTGCACAATATCATTCACTATTTGACATTGACATTGACAACAAAATGATAGCTATTAACAACGTTACTCTAACCATTGACTACAAACCAGATTTCCACTGACAATAACAGCATTTTCTGTATTAAATGACAAGTCAACATTAAGGTCATACTTGCACTTAATGTTTGCTTGTCACTTAAAAAGCTTGCAACCTATGCATGCAGTACATATTACTTACACCCTCTGCATGCTATGCATCATTTACATTAAACCCTTTACCTAAAAAATTACAAAGGGATCAAAATAACTAAAAGTGTCGCCTGTTTTAACATTTACAGCCACTTTTATGTTAGGTTTGGGTTTCTATAGGTCCTCCTTGTATGACCAGCTTCACCACAATTTGCATAATGGTATATCCTCTTGTTCTAGAATTGTGATTCGCGTCTGTTAGCTCTTGGCCTTCTAGTAGGTCGAACAGTCTGAGGTGGGAACAAAAAAATTTGCTCTGAAATATTTTCTATCAAAATGGTATTTGGGTCAGGCCTGTTGATGATGACCACTGGTATAATGCAGCGCAAGTAAATCTTTTCTTGGGATGTGATCTTGTAGCAATTTTCAACAAAGTCATAGACATTTCTGTGCATGGACTTTATGGCTATACAAGCATGTGGACACGAGATCCCCAACATTTGCCAAGCTGCACAACTACATGTATATGTACCGAGATCAACATGCAAGGCTCCATGGGATGTGTGGACAACAACCCTGCCCCCACCATACGGTTCAGGCAACATATGTTCAGCAAGGGTGACATTTTTCTTTACTTGTTCATCAATATTTGGTCCTATTCCATTTCTCCATCTACCCATTGTCATACTAGCTGCATGCATTTTTTTTGGCTACCTTCTCACGGTGCTCATGGATAAGCTGTGCAACGTTATGCCTCCTCTCCTTTACCAACCAAGCATTAAATAATTCGGCAAGGTTTGTAGTTATATTGTCCTACTGTTGATATGAAAACTTACTCAATGCCCATTTTTCCACATCTCCATAAGTATCGAGCTACTAGAATAACTATGGAGAGAAACGATGCATGTGGTCCATTGCCTTATCGAACTCACCATCAAGCCTTGCATATGCGATATTATCAAGCAATTGCAACCCATCTTCCTTTATTGACTTACTTGTCTTCCTCTTGCCTCTGTTTGCTTTAATTAGTTTTGCACTGAAGTTCTCCTTCACATGCCTATAGCAATATGCATGCCTCTGTAAGGAATTGAAAGACACGCAGCGGAAAATAACTTTAAAAATTTTCCAATCCCTTGCCCGGATCTACCGATTGTGTTTAAGTCAAGTAGTAAGAGATGTTACCTATGGTATTCAAATCATTGGTGGCTCGGGGATTCTGACATTTGGGATGCCTATACTCTCCTTTTGTTCATGAGAAGTCGACAACTCAGATTGGCTTCCTCTACCGGTATCCACACGAACAGCGTTCCAATCACGAACGACGTGCTAGCGCCTCTTGTCCTTCTAGGGCTTTTTCGAGAATCCATCCTCACCGTTTCTATTTTGGCCATTTCTTATCTGCAAACCTTTTGCTCTCTCACACACACGAAACCCTAGCTCCTAAATATCAAATATATAGGATGCTATCGGTATTATAAAGGATATTGGATTTCAGAATTAATCCTAAATTAATTCTGAAATTAATACAATATCATATATTGCATAATTTGATAAGAAATCAATTAAATAAATACGGTTTATATTAAATCCGTCCCACAGATTTAATTCACCTATTCATTTAATTCAAAATAAAGATATGACGGAATTATATTTGATTTATTCTAATAAATCAAATTTGAGATTTTACATTATACCATTTCAAATTTAAAAGTGATAGAGAATTTATCCTCATAAATCAAATCTTATAAATATCTCTTATATCATATAATATATATACACGAATTTATATATATATACACACGTCCACCCTAGATTATTCATTGAATCTGGACATATCTTAGATTCAATGAATCTGGACATCATAGCTCGTGTTGGGCTATTTTGTGTGCAACCCTGTAGGTCCATATGAAGTTGGCAGTGGGCCATTTACTATAATGACTCACAAGTCGTAAGCGGTCTCTAGCAAGACATCATGACTACCCAAATCATATAAAGATCGACGAACGATGTAACCTTTCATACAACCATATCACGTACCTTTTGTCACACGACATTTTGGTCATGGATGAGGCATGGAGAACGTCATCCTCCTATTCCTGACCGTTACTTTCTCGATCCCTTAGTAGTCTGAGTATAGAAATGGAACTACCTTTCCATTATAGTATGGCCATACATTTCTCAGACTCACTCATCGAGGGGCCCAGTAATATCTCTCTATGAATGTGAGGGACAAATTCCATCTTGACCATTCACATTCCTCCATATGAAAAACCACTAAGCCTGAACATAGTCTTTATGATCACTCGATCAAAAGTGACTTTTGACTAGGTCAAAGCTGAGCGTTTCTCATGTAGGAATCCATGATGATCTTAGGTCAAAGGGCATAGTGACATGGTTTGTATATGAGAGAAGCTTATGAATTAACCCATGCAGCTCTCTCATAACGGGTCGGTCCAACACCTTGTATATGACTTTGATTTATATCTCTATACATCTTCAAAGTCATACTGGTCTTATTTCATCTCTGCTCCCACATAGATGATTGACCAAGGACATTTAGGATAAAATCATGAGTTATCCAAGGATAGTCATCACAATAAACATGCAAATAATATGATAACATAATTAAGAAATTCATAAATCAACAATGTTCATAACACAATGATTGGCCCCTAGGGCACAATTTCCAACAGCCTCTCACTTCCAAATATTGCTCGGACAACTACTATGATTGAATTGTGACAGTCTAAAACTATTGTTAACTATCTAGAGCCAATGATATTTTTAATCATATTCAGAAACCATGACCAATCCTCATATGTTTCCCCCTTCACAATGGCAATTGCAAATAGTAATAATTTATTGTCCGCATCATAAGCCGATGCTGACAGCAATGTTCCCTTATACGGTCTACTTAGGTGAGTTCCATCTATATACAGTATATGCCTACCACCAGTTAAGAAACCCTCTATACAACACCCATAAGCTACGAAAACTCGCTCAAATATGTTATTCCCAGTAGCAACCCATTCAGCAACAGTTTTTTCATCACTTTCCTTTAGTCTTTGACAAATCCAAGGTATTAGCATGTAAGATTGCTCAGGTCTGCCTTGTATTTCCTCCATTGCTTTTTCCTTAGCTCTATATGCTTGCTTGTATATTAGATTCACTCCATAGTCTCTCTTCAACATTGTCATTATTTTAGTAGGCCGTTTGTCTATGTGATTCCTTACCTCATCAATTATAATTACTGATATCAAACTAGATCTTCCACCATGGTTGACTTGGAGATTGTCTTGCTCACTATGCACATGTTCATTTACAAATGTCATCACGCGTAGGAAAGAAGTCTTCTTCCCCACTGTATTTGCACATATCTTCCATAGGCAACCTTCAACCTTGCATCTCACCGACATTTTGTCCTTACTATTCTTCACATACTTGAACTCAAAATTATGTGCTATGCTATATTTGTGCACTGCCTTTTTAAACTCTTCTATATGTGCAAAATTTTGCAGCTGTCTTGAAATCAATTCCCTCCATTTTGAACAATTCATCTAAGGATATGGTGTTGGTGCATACTGTACTCCATATGTTATGTTGTTAGAACCGCCTCTAACTTCATACATTAAGGCCCCACCCATATCTTCATACCCCACTGGTTCATATTCAGTTTCCATACTGCTGAATGAGCCAGACCTTTCTTGTGATAGGCCCAACAATCTGTCAACTTTGCATGCACAGTGACAACTTCAGTAACGAAATTAACAACAATAATATAACAAATGACAACTTCTATAGCCCATTAAATATCACTTACATTTCCAGATCTTCTATTATATCAACACCACTTTCTTTCTCTTTACATGCTACGTATAGATGGTCATGCCTCTCATTATACTGAAAAAAGTTCCCAATCTCACCATCATCAACTAAATCTATCAGTGTCTTCTCTTTAAAACTTACTCTATATTTCATCTCACAATTATTACCATCAATTCCAAACCATAATGATATCTTACCCTTCAAATCTTCAACTATAATGGCTTCTTTTATGCTCCTTAGCCTCACATTACCCCCTTTATATTGAACTCCACCTTCCTCGTTAACTACAAATATCCCTCCAACATGAAAATAACACAAAAGTTCCTTCAAAGAGGTTGGGCCACCCAAGCTAATGCCTTCTACCATGCTCGAATATGCAAAAACACAATAAGCAATATACATTATTCACTTTCGTCACTGTCTGTAATAGAACCCCATTTCCTCCCTTACCAACAATACATTAGTTTTTCACAACTTTGCCTTGTTAACTACATACTTCATCGTCTCCTCACTATTCATGCTCATACTTGCCACCCACGCTAATGCCTTCTGCCATACTCAAATAGTAAACAATCAAACCCTATATCGGACACCAATGAAGTAATTTGCTTAACACTTTCTACCGATGCAGACCCACAAAATGAAAGACTAAAACCTGTGAATGAAGTTCTTTGCAATACCAAAAAATAATAACCCAACACCTTCACCTCTTAACCCACCTAAAACCCACTCACCTATATACACAGCCCGCCGAAATAATGACCATCAAGAGAAGAGGAAGAAGAAGCTAAACTTCAGACAGTATTAATGACTTTAAAATTAAACTTACCTTGCCTTTCTTCAATAGCTTCCACTGATTTTCATTCCCTCCTTTGCCTTCCCAGAAGCTCCCCTGGTCACAAGCTTCGTTCTATATTGTCTTTCTTTTTGTGCATTGATCAAGGCCAATTATGTCTCTAGACAACATTTGTAAATGCCAGATCAGTACCCCGAGTCTAATATGGAATTTTGTTTTTCACATGCACTTATCTAGGTTTTCACATATTTAAGGGTATTTTTCTGTCTCTTTCCCAAGAAAAATTGTCAAATTGAATTATTTAAAATACTTAGGGGCCTCTATAATTCATAAAAAATTTAGAAAAATTATTTAGGGAATTATTATGAATTGTAAAATTATTCCTAGCCTCTAGAAATATAGAGGATAGCTTTAAAAATATTTAAAGCTTAATTTCTATTGGTAGAAGACTGATTTCGAAAAAAATTCTAATTTAAAAAGTTAGAGGTTGAAATAAAATCTGAGATAATTAAGAGAATCTCTTCTCATTAAAAGGATGCTATTGGCATAAATAAATAAAGTTTTAAAAGTAGTGGATTTAAGAGGATCCAAGAAAAATTCAACCGATAATGGCAGATTATACAGTGTAATGAGTATAAGCTTGGTAAGACAAAATTTCTTCCTATTTTTTTAATGGAAATGGTGTCAAAATGTGAAAGAAAAGACCTAAATGGAATAATACAAACTGTTGAAAGGTAAACTTGGAAGAATGAATTACTGAATAAAAAAATGGTAATTCTTACATAGGGTGAATTAGGTGTCCATTGAGTTGGCATCTAACATTCAAATAAGGGACACATAAGAGGGTGTATGGGCAAGATCATGAAGGAGGATGAATCAAAATTATGCCACGTGTTATGGGTTAAAATCAAAGGGTAGATGGAGGACTTACCATGTGGTAATTTTGGCACATTATAAATAAATGACTACTACCTCTTCTCAAGGGCCATTTTTTGGCCAACTAAAGAGAAAAAAAGGGGGAGTGTTTTTCGGCCAACGAGGAAGAAGGAAAAGTAGAAGAAGATCAAGTTAATCCTAGGTCAAATCAAGTGCCAAATCAAGGTAAAAGCTTGGATTTTTCTCCTAGTTTAAGATGCGTAGTAGTTTGATGGTTTAAAATGTAGTTTTGATAGAGTTTAAAGCATGGAATGGTTAGGGTTTGATACTGTCCAGTTTAGTATATGTTGAGCTATGGATGATTTAAATTTTTTTATGGATTAGGAGGTAGAAAATGCTTGGATTATGGTGTTTAAACCTTGTTTAGGAAAGAATTCTAAGTTGTGAGACTAAGAGATTCCATTTGGCCAACTAGGGTTGATTGAGTTAGGATTTGATTTTTGTTAATTTGATGCTTCTAATGAGTTTCAGTAAAGAACATGTGTTTGGAAGAATTATAATTGAAAATAGAATTTTGAACCCTAATATACACTTATTCAACCAAGGTGAAAATAATGGGAAGGATTGGATTTTGATAAATCTAAATTCATATTTGGATTATATATGAAAATTCATATAGGAAAAGCCTAAGGAAGTAAATTAAAAGGTGTCACACCTTTCTTTTAGACAATATAACCTTTCAAATAGAACTAATTGGAACCACTTATCATGGCCTTAAGTTAGAAAAATTCAAATTTTAAAATTTATTAAATTCAGGTTACTATTCATGTAACCCTAAAACAAGATTAAACTTTAAAAAATCATAACTAATTCTAGAAGTATCAAAATGAGGAAAAATACTCTCTAGTACTAAGCCTTTATCAATCATTCCCAGGATTCACGTAAAGTAGCACAGTTTAGATGGTAAATTTTTAATTTTTCAGAATTTATGCCTAACTTTGGATAGCCATAACTTTCTATACAAAACTCCAATTTTGATAAAATAACACTAGTTTTGAAGCTAAAAATATGATCTATAAGTCTGCCAAGTTTCAATGCAAAACTCATTCATTTGACCAGAATGACATTGGCATGAAACTTAAGCATCATTAGGGTTAATTTATCCTTTTTCATGCTTATTCTCTTTCCTTAACATCATATAGTTATTTCATTCACAAATCACATGTTTAAACATCATATTTCTAGTCCATTATAGCCATCAAGATCAACAATACAAGTATCCAAACTCCAAACATAAATTATTACAAATTTACATAACAAAGTTCACATAAAATCATAAACCCTTTAGGCATTGACAACTTCATTCCAACATTATCTCCTTGCCCTTCTCCTTGGATGTTCCAAATCCTAAATTGTTGATTAATTAAATATGGAAAGAGTGAGATTTCATCCAAATCTCAGTAGCAAGAACTACAATAATCAAGCTAAACATGCAATGTAAGAATGCCATATGCCAATAACTAAATATCATGCATACTTTCATGCTTATATGCCATGGAAAGGGAGCAAGTAAAGATACCATTCGACCACTCAATATTGCATAAAGCCAAGGCACATTATGCATGGAGTTAATCACATTACCATCCATCTAGCTCTACCACATCATGGCATAAAAAAATCAAGCAACACATAGCAAACCAAGCAAAGCAAGTTAGCATTCAAATTGCAAGTTCATTGCTACCTCTTTAAATATCCAAGTATTCAACCTCCTTTGCTTCTTCTTGTTCCTCCTTGTGTCTTTGATTAGTTCCTCTCAATTCAGGCATAAATATATGCCATATTATCAATGATGCCACATAAAATACCATTAGGTATCAAGGTAACTCTATAACCCACTTTTCTTTGCCTTTTTTATTTTAATTTTTCATCTTTATTTTGACAAGTCTCAAGGGCCATTCCTACACAATTTTTCTTGTAGAATTCAAATATCAATTTGGTTTTGTTAAAATCAAACTCATCCCTATAAAACTACTCTTGGCCGAATAGTATATATATTAGGGTTGGAAATTATATTTTTGATTCTAATACTTTCAAACACTTTCTATTTGTATTTTCCCACATAAAAACACATTCTAAACTTATTGGAATCATCAAATTAAACTAAAATAATCTCTTACCCCTGTACCAAGCTTGACCAAATTACCTCTATGATTAGGAAATTTGGAAAATCAATCAAAACATCAACCAAACAAGCTAATCCAAGCTCTAAATCATAGTTTCTAACCTTCCCTAATCATTCCTTATTAAAGTCAAAAATTGGACAGCATGATACCTTAGGATTTTTGTCACCAAACTTGACTTGAAATAATCTAAAACCATAGTCAAATGAAAGCTCTTACGTACCTTGATTAATTCTTGATCTTTGCTTGATAATTTTTAGCTATTTCCTCTATGTTCTTGGCCCTTCAAAATGAGTTTTTCTGTGGCAAAACCTCTCCCCTTTAGAGTGCCAAAATAACCAATTTTTGAAGGGCTTGGGAGGGGTATTTATAGACACAATGTAGGCCTCCCTCTTGCTCCAAGTAGCCCTAAGAAATATGAGTTAAAAAGCCATGTGTCCACCCTTTCATGCTGTAAAAATTTGAAGCAGGCCAAGTGTCCCATGTAATTAAATGCTTAGGATAAACCATGTGCTAATTTCCATTATTTTATTCATTAACCATATGGGCCACTTGGGCCAAGAAATTTTTGTAGTTTCCTGGCCTAAAACCACGCCTAATGGGTTGGAAAAAGAAGGAAAAAGTATTACCTTTCAATTCCCAACATTTCTCGACCTGATTTCGCCGTATCAACCAAAATTTTTGTTTAATTTTCAATAATATTTTTGGAATCCCAAAAAATTATTTCTTCCTATTAAAA